GAATTTTCTCTGGGTTAGTGACCTCGTTAATTTCCTTTTTATAATCGCTTAATTTACTTTCTTCTTCTTTACTAATATTGAATTTCCTGGAAAAATCTATTAATTTCATTTTAGCCCCCTCTTTCCCTTGAGCCAAAGTTTTTTTTTGACTAATTGGAATCTTATCATAAGTGCTTCCTTTAACTTTTCTACTTTCCGGAGTTATTGTTCCATAACCACCTTTTACCTCATCATAATTCCAACCATTAACTCATGCCTCAGCCGACTTTTCGGCTTTTAAGCCAGTTATTTGCCGGTGCTCTCACCATTTTATTATTTCTTCAGAAGTAATTTCTTTTTCTTTTTCCTTTCCTACCTTTTCAAATTCCTGAACCCAAATTCCAAGTTCTTTCCTTGATTTATTGTAAGGAAGATCTTTTCTATCATTAAAGTTTCCTTCTTTGTAATAATTCCAGCCGTTTTTCCAAGCAGCAAGTGAATCTGCGACACCTAATTTTAGTTCACTGTAGGCTAGGAATCATCCTTTTGCCACTTTCTCATCCGCCACTTCTTTTTTTCCTTTAACAGTTCTCTCGGCTTTTCTATTACTACCTGCAACTCCAAATGCTTTTTTGAAATCATTTTCTGTTGGGGGGGATTTTTTCAACGGAATTTCTTCGGGAAGTTCTGCCTCCCTTAACCTACTCAACTCCTCCTGAATCCTCTTATACTCGGCAAAATTAAAAGGTTTATTTCTTATTACTTCTTTTAGTTTGTTTTCTAATTCAACTTGCTGAATGATTTTAGTAAGCAAGTTTTTTCATTTTTCTAATTTCCTCCGTGAGTAAACTTTTTTCTTAATTAATTCCTGATAATTACCTAATCCGTTGCTTTTTAATTTTATTTTCAACTGTCAATTTGTATTAATTTGTTCCTCGGTAATCTCTTTCTCCTGGCAAAGATTTTTCATCTCTTCTAGGAAAGTTTTTATTTCTTCCTCACTAACCAACCCATAAACTCCTTCTTCCTCTTCCTCACTCCCTATGTCTCATCGGTCAGTTTCTTTTGCTAACTCAGTCAACTTGCTAAGTACTTCATTTATCTTTTCAGAATAATTATTTCCTTCAAAAATTAGTGCTGCTTTGAGGTCAGTATCATCTGATGAAGTTACTTCTTTTAACCTACTTATAGACTCATCAATTTTTTCTCACTCTTCATCACTCATTGCCCTTTCGGCAGCTATTAATTCTTCGTGGATAAGTATTAAAGCCAGAATTTGATTACCATAATTCTCAGCTTCTTCTCAAGTTGGCTTAGTTAGAATTGCCTCTTGCCAGTTAGTGTCAATTCTTTCCGCTATTTCTTCTTTGCTATTTATTACTTCTTCTATTTGTTTGATAATGTTTGCTTGATTTCTTTGACTTTCCTCTTTGAAACTTATTTTTTTGATTTTGATTTTCATAGTATTACCTTATATTTTTTTTGAAAATTATTTGTTAAATTATGAGCGGGGAACACCACGGTTCCCCCTTTCTACCATCCTTTTTTCTAAACCCTTATAAACTTATTTTTTGGCTTAATCGGACAGTATAATCCAACTCTAACCATCAACAAAACCCCGCTAAATATTGCTACCGTTCCTAAACCACTACCCTGTCGTGAGGGACAAGAAACTTCAAAATTGTTAGTCACTTTTTCTACTTGCTGGTCTTTTTTATCGGAATTAAAAGAAACTTCGGTTTGGATTTTGCTTAGATATAAAAAACAGGAGTAGGATTAACCACTCCTTTTAATCCAATTTATTTACCAGTTTGAACAATTTGTGCTTGTTGAGATTGGATTAAAGGACGCATTTCTTTCTTCAACCTATTTATCTCAACTATTTTGCTAAAAAATGCTTGCTTTTCTTTTTTTTCAAGAAATTTTAAGTCATCTAAAACCTCATTGGCTAAATCAACATTTTTATGTTCAATTGCTTCTTTTCCTTCGTTAATTAAATCTATTATATATTTGTGTTTTGGTCTTTGTTGATAAATATCCTCCACTACTTTGTAACCAAAATTATCCAGTTCTTTTTTGCTTGCCTTTTTTCTTAAGGTTATTTCATAATCAATATACTCAACCTTTGTTAAGTCAGTTTTTTTTAATACTATGCACTCTGGGTGTTCTTCCTGCTCCCCAATTTCACCTTCTTCATATTCATATTCATCTTTCAGAGCATATTCAATTCTTTGTTTTCATATTCTTCTACAATTCTCTAAGCCTAATTTACTATTTATTTCTTTTAACTCAGACTGTTTATTTATGGCTGCTTCAGTTTCTTCATCATTACCAGCAAGTATCCAATTTTTCATTTTTTTAAATTTTTTATGCAAACTAAGAAACTCCTCATCACCAATCTCTTCGATTTTAATGTTGCTAAACTTATCTAATTCTGTCTGAATTACTTTTTTGGCTTTGCTTTCAGTATCTACTTTGGGAGAAGAGAGTTCAGGCTTTTTATTTGCTAAAGTGTCTTTTAATTGTTGTTGCAAATCAGAAATTTGTTCTTGCAACCGAGTATTCGCTTCAGTTAACTCACTTAATTTACTACCACCTCCTTCTAATTCATTCTCTAACTCTACTTTCCTATTTTTTAACCGTTTTGATTTTATCCTTTTTTCTGCCAACAGTTTTTCCAACACATTTATTTCCTCATCTTCTTCGCCGACCAAAACTTTTATCTCTTCAAGAAATTGTTTTCCTGATCCTTTGTTTTTATCCTCTTCTAAACGCTTTACTTTCTCTTGAGATTCTTTTAACTCATTTTCTAATCGTTCTTTTTCAGAAGAATTTGCGAGTTCATAAGAAGAATTTTCGTTAACTGGTATTTTTATTCATTTTTCCTCACCGTTTTCTAATTTTCTAATCGTTTCTGAAAGGTTAGTTAATAAAGTTAATGATTTTTCATCTATTTCCTCATTTTCTCCAATAAGTCCAGCAGGTAGTTTATTAATAATGTCTTGCAAATTACCAATCTGTTGTTGCAACTGAGTGTTTTTTTCAGTTAACCCATCTAATTGTTCGAGGGTTGGTCTTTTTTCTAATTCACTTATTTTATTTAATTCAATTTGAACTTGTTCCAAAGTTTTACCTCCTAAACCATTCTTTAATTTTTCAAGTTCATCTAAAAGACGTTCATAATCTTCAAAAGTAATATTTGGTCGCTGGTCTCTTTCTTTTTCAACTCGTTGACGGGCTTGTTTCTCGTTAGACAAATCAGTTTGAGCAGCACTAAGTTTTGTTTCTAATTCTTTTATTTTTGCTAACTGTTTTTCTCAATTAACCACTAATTCCTTGAAGTCATTTGACAATTGTCTAATCCTTCTGTCAATTTCTATTTTTTTATCAGGGTTTTCCTTTCAACCTTTCTTATTCAATGCTTCTCCCCTAATTTCTGCTATTATATCCTCTGATTCTTCCTTAATTTTATTAATTTCTTTCATAATACTTATTAATTATAAATTTTTTTAATTTTGTTAGGTTCAACTGAGCCTCTTAATGAGATCATTGTATTTTTTAATTTTTCTGCTTAATTTCTTATTTCTCTAACTTAAAGATTTTGCCTGGAGTTGGAATAATATCAATGCTTTTTCTATGAAAAAAACTGCTCCACTTTTAGACTTTTTAAGATCTATTTCAGCAAACCACTTTTTCAATTTTCTCATAATTGGCTCAAGTCAATATTTTTCTCATTTTATTTGCCATTATTAAGCATCAAATGGCCTTAGCCTAGTATTTACAGTTCTAGCTCTGTTCTTTAATTTATTATCAACCACATGAACTAAAAGTACACCCTTTTTAAAATATGTACCTTGAATACTTCAATAATGTGTTTTTACCCTATTTATTAGCAGCGAGCGTTTGGGCGAGTTGAAGAGCCGCTAGACCTGTTTGTCCTGAGGTTTTTTGAGCTTCAGCTTGTTGCTGTTGAAGAAAATTAATTTGCTCTTGCTTTTTAGTTAATTCTAACTTTTGTTCTTCTAACTGTTTTTCTAGACGTGCTATTATTTCATCCTTGCTTTCAACTTTTGCTTCCAAAACATTTCCTTTCCCCATATTAACTCCGAACTCAAAGTCACCGTACTTGGCCCCAATTCCGCCTTCAACAACTTTTTTTGCTACATCAATGCTTTCATTAATTACTTTTGTTGTATTATTCATAGCCTCCGTAGTCACATTTTCCACACCTTTTCTAAAATTTTCAACCGTGTCTGCTCCCGTTTTCATACCTTCCTTAACTAAACTTGACCCTTCTTCAACAACCTTTTTGTTAACATCCGCTATATTACTAGCAATCGTTCCAGTAACATTTGCTATATCACCTCCAATATTTTTAATCATATCAGCTCCTTTGTCAACAAACGTTTCAGTAACTTGTGTTAAATTTTTTCCAGTACTTTCCATTAGTCCTGCTCCGGTGTCTAAGGCTTTGTTGTAAACTTCTTTTCCGTCATCAACTATCTTCATTCCTGAAACCAAAGTGCCGTGATAAAGAGCACCGCCAAGTCCACAAAGACCACCTATTTGTTCTATCAAAGGTATATGCCCCCCCGCTTTTACACCCACTTGTACATATTTTTCGCCAACCTCCTTTACATTATTAGACAACTCAAGAAGACTAGGCGAGTTTGTTTTCCTTCCTTCTTTTTCCAACTTCATTTGAAGATTATCTAATTGTTCTTTATGTTGCCTCCTTTCTTCTTCTATTTTTTTTTCTACTTCACTCGCAAATTTTTTTATATTCTCAACCGCCTGCTCAGGGTTTTGTTTAGGAAAAGACTTTCTTCATTCGGCTAATTCTTCTAGTTCTTTATTTAACTGTTCATTCTTTTTGTTTAACTCTCGTTCAAATTCTTTAATCTCATTTCCCAATTCATCGAGCCTCCCTTTAATTCTACTTAAATCATTCTGGGTCTCAATTCAATCTGGTTCATTTTCAATATTTTCATCTGCCATTGCTTTTATTTCTTTTGCTTTCCAACTTACTATTTTTTTATACCCTTCTTCAGCATTTTGTTCAAGTTCTTTGAGATCACTTTTAATTTCTTCTAAAAATTCATTAGTCTGTGTCCTTTTTAATTTCCCAGAAGATAACTTTTCATTTATTTTCTTTTTTATTTCGTTTATTTCCTCTATTATTTTTGACATATTTTTACTTATATTTTATTGTATTGTTTTGTTGTTAATTTCTGTATTTTTTTACCAATTTTTTCAAAACAGTTTAGCCTCTGTTTACCAATTACTTTTTTAGTTTAAATTCAGACTAGAAGTAATTAGTGAAAAATTAAATCCGAACTTTTTTTATTTATGCTTGTTGGCTTCAAAGTTAAGGCGTTAATTTCTTAACCATCTTAACTAATAAATGAATAAAGCATTTTAGGATAACCCTTATTTGGTGGCTATGTAGTATAGCAAAAAAGAGTATAAGCAATTAGATCCTATACCAGAAAAATTATTTTTTCTTAGGGGATTTTTTCATCTTTCTCATTTCTTAAGTCATCATAAATTAATTTTATATAGTTTTTAATTTCTTATCATATAGAAATATATAAAAATATATAAAGATATAAAATTAAACAATATCTAACTCTTATAGTTGTTGTTAATGATAACTTAGACCAAGTGGTTTCCGAAATTAAAATGAAAATTCTCCGTTCAACTTAACTAACTCATTTTTCTCTCGCTAACTTCCGTCGTCGAGCCCGCAGAATAATCATGGCAAGAATTATTAAAGGCAAGGCAATCAAAGTGGCAATTCCTAATATTTTGAGCCAAGGAGTTCCGGAGTCTTCTTGCTTACTTAAATTTCCTTGTAGTTCGGCCATTAATTTATCTAACTTCGACTTGTATTTTTGGTAGGCTTGTTTTTGGTATCTATTTTTCCGTAGTAATGATGCTCAAGATTTCTCTTACTAATTTGGCTTTTTCTTCTTTGGTTAAATTCCCCTTTTTAATTTTATTTGAAGTTTGAACGACAAAATCCTTCAATTTATTATCGGCTCCATTTTGACAAATTTTTTCTTCGGCTTTGGCAATTTTTTCCTTAGTGGGGTCATTTTTGGCTTTGGCTAAGGCTTCTTTGGCTTCATTATCCATGTTGCTGTCAGTTAATCCATTATTTCTCAATTGTTAGTCTAACGAATTCTCTGCCGTTTTTTTGTGTCGGGAAGGGTCTAATTCTTTTAATCTACTTTCTAAGGCATGGATTTCAGCTTGCTTTTCCTGGTAAGAATTAGAAGCCCTCAATTCCTTAATTTGTTTGAGAATATTTTCGAGATTTGTGTAGTTATCTCAATTTTCTGGTTATTTGGCGGAGGTTAGAAGTTCTTGAAGACGATTTTTTCCCGTTTTAGGTTTTAATAATTATTATTTCTTTATAATTTATACTCACAAATTAACTTATTTTAACCTTTTAACTACTTGTTCTAGGTTATATTTTAGTTCGGGCTTGGCAGTCCAAATAAATCC